GCGTGAGGGACCCACAGGAGTCACTGTAGCTCCTTGAGTCCGTGTGCTATGAGCAGGAAGCGTAAAAAGGCCCATCGGTTCTTTGAAAGTCTGTGAAGGACCCGGCACCGTGCGTGTTACCGGAGTCTGGCAGACGGCACAGTGTGCGGCTGTGTGTGCCCAGCTCCCAGCAGTCACGCCACCGTAAGAAAGCAAGTTCGCTCTGCAAGCGCTCTTCGGGCTGCACCATGTGCCGGGCGGGTCACCCTGGGTCTCCTGGACGCTTCAGTGAAAGTGTGAAAATCTGCTTCTTACCACCAAAACCAGCTTCTTCCCCAGCCAATGGGCCAAGCGATTTCAGCTCTGGGAAAGCCCACGGTCTCGGACGGACGTTCGCACAGGTAACAGATGCGGCAGCCGGAGATCGGGCAGTTTTGCTGGCCGAGTTCTGGAAGAAACATGACAGGGCGCGTGCGGGATCTGTGGGAACATGAACGGCCGCAGAGGAATGCGGACCGCGGGAACCCTGCTGTTGGCGCAGGGCAAGGAGCCGTGCGTGTGGCCCGGAGGAAGTCAGCGAGGGCCAATGACCGACACAGACGTGGCTGCGAGGGATACTCAGGCGCGTCCCAGGGGACGTGACGCCAGGAACAAGCGTCACGGAAGGGAACTCTCCAAGACATTTCACAACGGTGAAAGCACAAAGGGTACAAGGTCGGACGTGAGCCCGACTCAGGAGCAGGACAAGAGCCAGGCACAGAAGAGGGGCTCACGCTTCCGTATACCAGGCGACACAGGGACGAGCCCCACTCAAGCATCATTTGCTAATGTTTTACAAAGAAGTACGACACCAGCTTTCAGAATTTCTAACATTTTGACTGACGGTGCCACCCAAGTTGGTCTATGTTTTCCGTTTCCCCATGCGTTTATAGGAAACTACAGGAAAGTTTCTAATGTCTTGACAAACACGTTTTAAAAGTTCCAGAACACTCGTGACTTCCCCCGGATCACACAGACCTGCGCGGCTTCAGCTTGCACGGTCAGTAGTGTTTACAGTCCACACTGTGGTACCTCGCGAGGGCCGCCTGGACAGACACGGCATGAGCGCCACGATACCATGTTCGCTGAGAAGATACCCACGTGGAGGACAGCGCGCTACTTTCTCCTCAGCAAAGCATGAAATTAGTTACGTATGCACACTTCCACATCACGTAAGCATTTCGTAACCTACGTTTATGTCCATACGTTTGCTCGTACTGAAAAACCAAACAGTAAAACAGTAAACCAAAACTGCGACCCTTCCTTCTGGGCAGAGGAAAAAAACACGGGGAAACAGGCACAGAATGTGTACTTCTCTGAATATGTCTGATTTTTGGGTTTGGCCTTGGAACCATGCATGTTTCTACACACTTAGAAAACAACACTTACAAAAAACTTTACGAGCCCAAGTCACCAAGGAAGAGAACATTTCTGAACTCTTGCTCTAAGACAAGTATTCCTCTAACGTCAAAAGCAGACAAAGGGGTCACAAAACTGCAATCAGTGCTTTTTATGAATACGAACGGAGCCAAAATCATCAACAAAATCCGGGCAGACAGAATCCAGGAACATAGGAGAACGACTGTGCACCTGGGCCACATGGGACGTATTCGAGGTTGGTTTAATGCTGGCACGAGCGGCTCGCAGAATACACTGTATCCGTAGAATGAAACACCAAAGCCATCCGCGCAGATGCAGAAAACGCTGGGACCAATCCAACATCCTTTCCAAGTAAACACCCAGCACACAAGCAGTGGAAAGAAACGTCCTCAGCCTGATAAAGGTGCTGTGAAAACCTCACAGCTACATCACGTTTTGTGGTGGAGGAGCGGATACTTTCCCCAGAAGAGTGGAATGACACAGGATACCCCACGCTCCCATTTCTCTCCAGCGCCGCGCGGGAGGTGTCCCACAGTGGCCAGGCATGGGGACATAACAGCAGACACACACTGGGAAGGAGGAAGCCCACCGCTGCTGCTTGTCGGTTCCTACTCTACGGAACGTTAACGGATCCACCAAGCGACGTTACAACACAGACGTGAGTTCGTGAGGACACAGGACACGAGAGAAATACACAATAGTCAACTGCATTTTTACACACTTGCAACGAACAACCTGAACATCAAGTTTAGGAAACAATCCCACTGGTAAACCACCCAAAAGAGTAAAAAGCTCTGAACACATTCAACAAAAGGCGTGCAAAGCACACTTGGAACCACAGAGCGCTTCTGAAAGGAAAAGTGTAATTACAGGGAGAGAAGCTTCTGCACGTGGATCAGAAGACACAACATGAAGGTGGCAGCGGTCTGCGAACTGATGTACACACCAACATGACCCTTAACAGGGGAGCTGCTGGCCTCTCTGTAGAAACCAACGAGCTGACCCCAGAAATCACACGGCGTGACAAGCAGCCCCAGGGAGCCCCGGCCATCCTGAACAAGAACAAAGTCGGAGGAGCTACACTTCCCTGTCTGCAAACTTAGTACCAAGCAACAGTGATGAAGACGGTGTGGTCTTGGCTGACAAACGGAAATACGGGTCTATGCGGCAGAGTGAGAACCCAGCGATACACCCTCACCTCACGATCAAGTCATTTCCCATGAGGGAGACCAGTCCACGTGGAAAGACAAATCCTCTACAGACATGGTGCGGGGACGCCTTGATCTGCACACGGAGAAGACCCAGTTGTGCCCAACGTCACTCCTCACAAACGCCAACTTGTAACAAACCCGAGACATACGCGTAAGAGGTGGAACTACACAACCCGCAGGAAAAGAAAGACTAAATCTTCATGACCTTCGCTTTGGTGAGGACTTCTCCAACAGGACGCCAAAAGCACAAGAAACAAATGTAAAAGTAGATAAAATGAAGCATGTCACAATGAAAACCTAAATGCCACCCAAGCGTGTACAATGACCCAACCACTGGGAGGAACGGTGTGTGCACCACGTATCTGGTCACAGACTCGTGTCGACGACACACAAAGTACTCTTAGAATTCAACAACGGCACGACAACCACGTGGGCAAAGGATGGGAACAGACACTTGTGCAGAGATGTACACACGGACAACAAGCACGTGAGGAGACGCGCACAATCGTCCGTCGGCAAGAAAACCACACATCGATCCCAGAATGAGACACCAGTGCCCACGCACCGGGGTCAGCGTCTCTCATCCGAGAAGGGGACACAGCGGAACCCCTTTCACGGCCGGTGGGCACGGAAACGGGGCGGGTGTTTGCAGACATGCAAGTGGTCCCACAGGCAGCTGCACAGCATTTCCGCAGGAGCCTGCACGAGCACTCCCAGCTGCGCACCCAAGAGAAAGGTCACGTGTGCACAAGACACCTCAGGGTGCATGTTCCCAGCAGCCAGGACAACAGCAACATCCAAGAACGGTCGCCTGGGAAAACACCGCACGTCAGAGCAAAGAAGGATGCGCAGATGCGTGCCCACATGGAGCGCACTCGGAAAACATGCTCCACGCAGGGAGCCCCACTCGGGAAAGCGTGTGTACACGATGTCCAAAACGGGCCGATGCACGGAGACGGGGAGCAGGAGGGAGGGAGGCAGGCAACCGTCTCGGAGGGAAGACTGTGTCCTAAAACAAAGCACGGGGTCGACGGCACAGCTCTGTGAGGACGCGAACACCCCTGAGCGCTGTGCTTTAAAAGGCTGGCTCGTGTGGTGCGTGAACTCTGTCTCAGGGACCGCGAGACAGACGGAAAGGCCAACCCCAAACACGGGAAGCAAAAGGTACACGAAGCTATTTAGCAGCTGGAGAAGAACGTTCCAGCGCGGCGCACACACCGGGCTACCGGCAGCCAAAGAGGAGGACATTCTCGCGTGGCGCATGCACCAGGTTCCCCGGAGGAAAGGAAGGAGAACGTTCTCCCACTGCGCACGCAACAGGGTCCCCGGCGGCCAAACAGGAGGACGGTCCCACGCCGCGCACACACCAGGCAACCCAGCGGCCCTGGAGGAGAACATTCTCGCGCCATGCACGCACCAGGCTACCTGGTGGCCAGCGAGGACGTCGTTCCCGTACCGCATGTGCAGCAGGCTACCCAGTGGCCACAGAGAACGTTCTCACGCTGCACGTACCGCACAGAGCGCTGGCTTCCAGACCACCGCGACCAGCCCCAGGAGACAAGGGCATGGGAGAGAGACAGGGAAAGCAGGAGGCACGCAGGCCACACAGGACATGAACAGGGGACACGCACTGACCCTGGGGAACACTGCACGCTGAGCTCACAACCACCTTCTCCTGCAGCGCGACCACCATGGGCCCCGTGGGCGGGCCAAGTCACATCCCAGGACGCGCCAGGTGCAGTGGGTGGCCACTCGGAGCGGAGGATGGGCTGGGCCACCAGGAACCCTCGCGCGCTGCCACGAGCTCCAGCCGCTGCGCTGCGGCTGAGCCAACCTGGGCTCCGTGACTGGGGAGGGGAGGCGTCCCCCTTCCTGCAAGCACACTGCGGTGGCGGTGGGCACCGAGACGCGGGTCCAGAACACAGCACTCGTGGGGGGGGGGGGGCGCATCAGTGACTGGGGAGGACGCCCCTGGCAGGACGGCACACAGAAACTGCACGGGCCACGTCCCACGTGCACGTATAAACACGGACACTCCGGGGACACGCTGTCCGGACGAGACCGCAGCGCGGCACAGCATGGCTGCTGAGCTGAGAGTCACACACCGCATAGAGCACACACGGACTGGGCTGCATGTTCACGCACTCCGGAGAAACGGCACCTCGCCCGGGACAGGCACAGGGCCACGTGGGTGCACGGGAAGGCCTGGGTTCAGCCTCTGGGGACGCTCCCTGGAAGACGCAGGCATTAACACTCGCTGACCCGGACCATGACCCGGGACGTGCGTCCTTTAGGATGGAGGACCAACGTTCCCACAGAACCCTACTTGTGCTTCAGAATGGAAGCAAGTAGGAACCAGAGCAGCCCAGCTGCACACACGTGGGGGCCCACCTTGGCCACTCGGCCCATGTCCTCCATTGTGGCTCTCTCGTGGGGGAACTGCGCGAAGGTCCGTTCGATCTTGGTGATGATGGCATCGATGTTCACCGTGTCCTTGGGACGGCCTCTGGGAAAGTAGAACGTGGGAATGTTTTGGCTCGAGGCGGGTGGCAGGGGCTCCTCCTTCTTCGTCTGGACCTAGGACAGAAAACAGACGGCACCGGCATGAGAACCTGTGAGCCTCCATGTCTTCGCACTCACGCAGAGTTAGCAGGGGTGACCTGGTGGAAAGTAATTGCACCGAGCACCACATCGGACCCGAATTTGGACACACGACTGCCAACAATGCTCGCAGGAGGTCACACAACCCTCAAGTGAGCGCCACATCCACCGTGGGCCCCCTGCCGCACAGCTTCCTCCAGTCCTGCCTTGGGTGTGGCCCCTTAGGACAGGGACTGGGGATGCCCAAACTGACAGACGGGCTGGCACACATGCTTGTGGAGAACCTGCCGGGAGTCCTCCTGGGGGTCAGGACCAGACAGATGGCCACTAACGGGCACGTGAGTACATGCGGGAACGGCTGAGCTCACGTGTGCAGCATACACGGGGAGTCACCTGTTTCCACGGTACCCGTCATGGAGCGGGACACACCCACCATGCCAACCTGTGGGCGCCTCGCACAGAGAACCTGGCCCACAGCCATGTCCTCGCCACAGAGAACAGCACACAAGCCACAGCTTACGGTTCCCCTGCTTCCCGGTCGCGGCCCAGCATACAGCCCCCATGCTCCCGGGTCGCAGTCCACGACAGCCCCCGTGCTTCCCCGTCATGGCCCAGCACACAGTCCGGTCCCCGTGCTCCCTGGTTGCAGTCCACGACAGTCCCCGTGCTCCCCAGTCATGGCCCAGCATACAGTCCAGACCCTGTGCTCCCCAGTTGCAGTCCACGACAGTCACCGTGCTTCCCAGTCATGGCTCAGCACACAATCCAGTCCCCGTGCTCCCCGGTCAGAGTCCATGACAGTCCTCGTGCTCCCCAGTCATGGCCCAGCACACAGTCCATTCCCCATGCTCCCCGGTCACAGTCCACGACGGTCCCCGTGCTCCCAAGTCATGGCCCGGCACACAGTCCGGTCCCCGTGCTCCCTGGTCGCAGTCCACGACGGTCTCCATGCTCCCCACTCATGGCCCAGCATACAGTCCGGTCCCCGTGCTCCCTGGTCACAGTCCATGACAGTCTCTGTGCTCCTCAGTCATGGCTCAGCACACAGTCCGGTCCCTGTGCTCCCTGGTCGCAGTCCACGATGGTCACCGTGCTCCCCAGTCATGGCCCGGCACACAGTCCGGTCCCCGTGCTCCCTGGTCACAGTCCACAACGGTCCCCATGCTCCCCAGTCATGGCCTGGCACACAGTCCGGTCCCCGTGCTCCCAGGTCATAGTCCACGATGGTCCCCGTGCTCCCAGGTCACAGCCCAGCACATAGTCCGGTCCCCGTGCTCCCAGGTCACGGCCCAGCACACAATCCCCGTTCTCCCCGGATACACCTCAGAGACAGTCTTCTGTTATCCTCAGTCACACACCAGGGTCTGTCCCCGCTGTCCTCGGTCCCACGTCAGGACGGACCTGGACCCCCTCAGTCACACGTCAGGGACAGTCCTGTGTCTTCTTCAGTCACACGTCAGGTCCATCATCAGCTCATTCCCTGCACTCCTCAGGGCTCAGAGCCTGCGCGCCACCCCCCCCCCCCCCGACGAATGCACATCTTCACAACACGCGTCCTCTGTTCAGCCACCGTGGGAGACGGCAGTGTCCAGCTTCCACGTACGGAGAGCTAGTGGATGCAGCACTGCACGGAGAGATGATAACCAGGGGGAGCTCAGTGCAGGGCGGTGGGGGAGGGGAGGAGGAAAGGGGAGAGAAGGCAGGAAGGGGGGAGGGGAGGAGGGAAAGGGACAGAGGGAGGGGAGGGAAGGAGGAGGCAGGAGGGTGAGAGTCACGGGAAGGGGAGAGGAAGGGGGGGAAGGAGAGAGGAGGGAGGGAACAGGGTGGGAAGGGGCCACAAACTGAGGCTCAATGGACCAGGGACCTGGGGGCCACAGGTTTCCGTCTCTGCTGTGCAAACACATCTCCGGCGCGGCACCCGTCTCCCCATCAGCGGGAAGCCTTCCGAGCGCAGTGGCTACCCTCCCCTTCCAAGACCCTGGTGTGAGGGGAGGGTTCCTGCTCAGAAGGCTGGAGAACCACGGCACCCGGGGAGGGGGCAGGTGTGATGGGCTCCGGCACACACGCGTCACTGCCTGCCTCAGGGCCTTTGCACACACGATCCCGGACACCACCACAGTCCCTCACGCACCTCACCAAAGATCCCACTCGGATCCCGCCGGCCACAAAATCCACCCACCCCCATCCCGTCGCTCCTCCTCGGAGGGGTCACAGGAGGTCAAGAGGTCACCCTGAGCAGAGAACACCCCTCCCCCATCCATTCCCCCACGCCACACAGAGCACCAACAGTCCCAGCAGAACCCTGCGCACCTGCCCTTCCTGCATCCAACCCGCGGCCTCTTCAGCAGTGTCCGCAGGGCTCCCCAGGCTCCAGTCTGTCGGTGCCCCGAACAGGAGGGAGCGAGGCTGCCCCCAGGTCTGCACAGGGCAGCCCCCAGCAGTAGGGCTGCCAGAGCGCACGTCTCAGCGGGTTTCCCACAGGTAGCACGCCCTTCCCTTTGTTTCGGGCAGCTGCCACCCTCGAGAACACCGGCCACACGACGCGGCGTTGGCTGTGTCACCCTGAGTCCTTCCAGACCCGGAGCCTGCCTGTCTCCTGGGAGGGCAGGGACCTGAGAGCCGAGCCGCTCAGCGAGCAGGGTCTGCCCTCACCACTGCGCGAGCCCGACGACACCGCGGCGTAGGAACCGCAGGAGTACAGCCCGGCCGCTGAGATTCTGGGTGAGCTCTCTTCGTGCAGGGTCCGATCCCAGGTGCCCAGACCAGCCCTTCTGCTCAGAGTCCCTCCACGCCCCGCACAGAGTACCTGACAAACATTTAAGAGCACCCATGCCCCGCCCCACCAGGAAAGGAAGGCACCCTCGGGCCACAGACACCCCGAAGGGAGCCCGGTGAAGCCAGTGGCGTCCGTGCGGCCAAAACAACCACCTCTTCACAGCCCTGCCGAGGAGCTCAGGGGTCTGGACACGAAGTCCAGCATCCTGGAACGGGGCTGCCCCCCGAGCGCAGGTCCCAGAGAGCTGCCCCTCCCATGAGAAGGATGAGCCAGAAATAAATGCCCAGCGACCCCTGACCGTGAGGAATGAAAACGATGGGCTTCACACGTCCTGCTGCATCCACGAGCGGGGCATGGGGGCCACGGGGCGGAACATGCCCCGAGAACTCCGGGCCACGGCAGACGCTCACTCGGCTCACACGCCACGTTCACAGCATCCGGAGCGGGGAAGCTCCAGGGGCTCCGTCCGGCTCCGGATCTGACCCTTTTCTGCAAGGCGCCGTGTCCTCACATCCCGTATTTTGTCTCTGAGGACGCAAAGTGGCTCTGTTCCCTGTTCAAGGGGGCGGCAAGACAGGGACTCGCTCTCTGGGTTCTGTCCTGGGCTCCCCACACCTGACAACGCCCCAGAAGAGCCGCGTCTCAACCATGCCGGACAGGAGCTGGAACGACCCTCGGCCGAGGCTGACAGCAACGCCCCCACCTCTGATGATTTACAGAGTGACACCCATCGTTCACCCGACAGTCACGAGCATCGGACACTACCCTGGACCGCTGCTGGAGCTCGGATCCTAAACCCCTAACCCCGAGCGAGGACGAGACTGTTTTCTGCCTTCTGAGCCTCCCAGACACGGTCTGTTCTTCTCCCACAGCAGTGCTGTTCAGGAAAGTCTGCTGTCACTTTCTCTGGCTCATGGCTGATTTCTGTGAGAAGCCGAGGTCCCTGCTGGCTGGTCCCGTGGGACCCTCCCCTGGGTGCCTGCACTTAGCCAGCCCGTATCAGTCTGGATAACCCCAAAATCCTCTAGCCAAAACCGTACTGGTGCACCAGACTGGTGCGGCCTGAAAGGAGGAAGATCTGCCCCAGGAAACCATCGTCATCTCAGGACCCATAAAACTGCCCGAAGTCCCACGGAAAAGGAGCAACTCCCAAACTCACACGTCCCCATGCAAACAAGGTGCCAGGAGGGACAGAGCAGGACGGAACCCACCAGCTTCAGATGCCGGTGTGACCACACCCAGGACCCACGCGCTTCCCCTGGCTCAGATCACAGAAGCAGGAAGTCTGAAGATGGAAGGGTGAGTCCACGGAACACAGACCCCAGTAACACGGCAAGAGCACACGTACAGACAACGCATGTGGGGGATGGCGGGGTGGACGGAGCACAGCTGAGGACAGGTGTGGGGAAGCGGGGGGGGACAAAAGGCAGAGGTCAGAAGGCCACCCGGGGTGGGGGCGTGGGGGGGCGTGCGGAGGCGCACCCTGAGTCCTGGGTTCCCGGTGCTCCCCACACAGCCCCGGTAAAGGGAATCCCGCACAGATACAGGGGAATGGAGCCGCCGGACAGCAGACACCACCAGCACATCCTCCAAAACAGCCGGGATGAAACACAGCCCAGTGGGGTCCTCTTCAGCGCAGCAAGGAATCAGACAGCGGGCACGTTCTGGAGAGGCGACACCGCACCAGCCAGGGCGGCCCCGGGGTAGGGCCGTGCAATCTGCGGCTCTGCCCTCGGGGAGGCCGGCCGCTGGGAGGTGGTCCCTGCGACCAGAACAAACGCAAAACACACTGAGAAGTGAGCTGTCGGCAGACCCCGGTTTGCGGACTCGCAGGGTCTCGATCCCTCAAACCCCCGCACACGGGTTGGCGGACTCGCGGCGTCTCCGACCGCGCACGAGTTGGCGGACTCGCAGGGTCTCCGTACGCACACGGGTTTGCGGACACGTGGGGTGTCCGTCCGCGCACGAGTTGGCGGACTGGCGGGGTCTCCGTACGCACACGGGTTTGCAGACACGTGGGGTGTCCGTCCACACGCATGGGTTTGCAGACACGCGGTGTCTCCGTCCACGCATGTCCATCCGTCCGCATGTACGAGTTCGCGGACACACAGAGTCTCTGTCCACGTGCACAGGTTCGCAGACATGCGGGGTCTCCGTACGCACGTGGGAATTTGCGGACACGTGGGGTGTCCGTCTGCAC